GTCATCTGCTGACAACTAACCAAGTATTTCCAGTGGTTGTCCCATCAAGCTCATTGCCAAGTACACTGCTTTCTGCTTCTCTGTCCATTCATTCATTTTTGCCAGTGTGGAAATGTCTTTCAAAAAGTCAAGACAAACTAAAAATAGAAAGATTAGTTTCATTTGACTGTAGTTGATTAGTTGAATGTTATTGATTAGTGAGTGTGACAATTAATCAATTAGCAAGTTATACCAATCACCCAAACCCAGTTGCTACTTGCCTTTGCTTACCACAGTAAAGGACCAGAACATAAAGGTTTTCCATTTGAACTTTCTCTACTTTAATTTAAAAGCTAGTAAAGTTTGTATAGTATAATCAAAACTATCCAAATCCACAAAGTCAGCTTATATAACTTAAGATTCACCAAGTGTTTTTTCTGATGAAACTTCATAATTTGATGATAGTGACACTGATGTTTATTCACTACCACTGTCTCAGCCTACAGCACGAGTTCCATGGAAAAACTGTATACTTACCATAATAGAAATGTGCATTTCTTAATTTTTGGTTCCATAAAAGCTTAAGTTTAATAACCTCAAACTAGATAAATCACTTTTTTGTTCTGTATTTTAATGGCAAAGAACATTTACTTCTTAGCATAAAATTGATGACTGATGATTTTAATTTGTTTTGAATAAGAATTACCAATTGTGTGAGCTATAGATATGTCTTTGTAATGAACAATAAGTGGTGTTATTGGTTAAATTATGATGATCTTTTTTTTTTTATGTTCAAGCTATGCAAATAATACAGTGGCACATATATGCTTAAAAGCCTTAAACCAGACATAAATCATCACAATGTGTTTAATGCTATTAATCAAATGATGAAAATATCTTTATGTTCAGTGTTTTGAGCTAATTTGATGACTTACATATACATAATGTATAATTTCATTAAGTATATCAGTATTGAAGCATAATTTATGGAATCTCAGGAAATGATAAAGATTGAACTTGATAATATAAAGAGTCCAAAACAAGTAATATTTCATACTGGTTTTTATATTTATTAAGCATTTTGCCAAACAGTTGTTAACTATTTCATATAATGGTAATTATTATAACTGATAAAAGCTTTTGCATTAGTATATGTCATTTTGCTCTTTTGTAATCTTAAATTGAAATATTGAATTATCTTATGAGCAGAAGTTACTTAAAATTTGATAGTTTGCTGTACCTTCAAGAGACTGTTGCATCAAAGATGAAACTGACACAGTTCAGCTAAAGTATATAACATTAAATGTAGTAAGGAGTAGTGCTAATGAATTTAGACAAAAAACTCCTTAGTGATATAATCTAAGGTTATAATGTTTGTGTTTTGAAAAAGGACTTTTGAAGCTGTACATAGCTTAAAATGGATTCAATCTTAAAGCTTTATGTTTGTCAGATTATGTGTATTTGATAAATTATTTAAAAGATATTTACTTTTATCCTGTATGAGTTCAAGACTTTTAAGATGTTAATGCATTTTAGAATTCACATTTTTCGTAAAGATAAGCTTCATTTCTACCATATAAGTGATGTTTAAGAGATGATTGCTACTAGAAGTTCAACTTAAATGACTAGTTTACTGAAATTCATAGTACTTGTTAATTGTTTAGCAGAACACTAATACAGTTTTTTTATATTTATTTACTTAAGAAAGCCATTTAAATGTTTTGTATTACAATTTTAGTTTTCTTCTGTGTGTTAAAGTGTTTGATTTATGGTTGTTATTAAATAGCTGACATTTTTATAGGCTTATAGATACATTCAATTAGATTTCCTTTATTTAAATAAAACCTTAAAAATATAATTAATAACAGAATGAAAAGTATTAAGTATTTAGTAGACCTGCCCATCTTATGGGTTTTTTTTGTTCTTTCATTTTTGTAACTTCTTCCCTGTTATTGTTTTGTTTACAGTTAAATATTTACTAACTTTAGAATATCATGACTGAATTTTAGATGATTTGTATTATAGACAGCAGATGCCTTGTGCAACAGTTATCCTACTCCAGGAGCAACTTGCATTCTGTACCGGTTCAAAATGAAGTTGATGCGTCCAATACCAAAAGAACTGAACACTAGAAGTCGCATTATTTCAGATCCTGAAGACACCACACAAGGGTTTGGGCTACTGACTACAAAGAAAATACCTTCTGTAATTTTTTTATGGCTTAGTATATGTGTATATTTGTGTGTGTGTGTGTGTGTGTATATATATAGTTAATTATATGCAATAAATTCTTTAATAAAAGAAAGATTAAGTGCCATACATAAAGAGAAATGAAATATAGTGTACCAAATACATTATGGGAAGGATAAAGATATTTCTTTCATGTAAGCCAGAAATAAAAAAAGAAAATTCATGGCCTGGTTGTTTGGATGTTCGACTCGCATTCTGAGGGTTACCGGTTCAAATCCAATCACCAAACATGCTCATCTTGTAAACTTTTTATTATCACCTGTATTAGATGGTAGGCTATTGTTGCAAATTTAATGTTAATCAAGTCATAAAAATTAAAAATGGTATGTACATTTAGGAACTTGCTTTTGTTAGTAATTCTTGACAACCAATTCTCTAGTAATTTTAAGCAAATATGCTTTAATTTAGTTTTGTGTATGTTTTTCAGATATGCAGTTTTCCACTTTTCACTCGTTCTGGAGAACTAGAAGTAGAACTAGAGTATGTCGCATCAAACTTGAAATTTTCAGAAGAAGACCTGGAAAGCCTTGCTATTTTCCACAAATATATATTTTCTGATGTTCTACAACTGGTTAGATACCCTATGATTTTCAAACCTAATGCAGAAAATGCATCATTTCTCATTATTCCTGTAAACAAAGGTAAAGAGTGAGAGTTTACTAATCTTTCCCTCTTTTGCACTGTTATCACTATATGTGCTTAAGATGGTACATAAGTATGCTATAATACATTTAGGATAACTATACCTCACCAAATATGACTTACATATATAATTTAAGAACTTCAATCTATGCATTTAAAACATAATAATAATAGTACAAAGCACAAGCAAGTCCTTTTATTGTTCATAAATTTACTTAATTTAAAGAAATCTTCATTGTTTAGAAGTTTTCAAAATATTAATTAAATGATGTAAAATATAATTTATTATTCCACATATATATATAATGTTTGTGATAATTATAGGAAAAAGTTTGTTCATTATGCTTATGTGAATGGATTTTAAATAATTATATCATTCATAAACATAACATAAAGGTTATTTTAAACACTAATTCTTGGAAAATTATAATAGTTCATGGCTTTTACATGTTGTGTAGAATCATAACTGATTGTTCTTCTGGATTCTTCCTTACAATCAAAATCAAGTAGAAACTTCTCCATACCACACAGAAACTATGTAGCTCTAGTACTTTGTATGTCATGTAGACTAACCTTTCTTGTATTTTATTTGTACCAAGTGTACAATGGTTGAATTACATTTTCAAAATGTTCTATCCCCTGTAAAGGAATTTTTAAGGCTCATTTTAACTTCAAGGTAACCCTAACGACAAAATGTTAGAATATGCAGTACATGAAATATTTTCTCTAATTCTTATTGTATAAAAGTAATCTCATAATTTCTGATCCCATGCACTGGTTTTAGAGTTAGGTGTTTCTGTCTTTCCTCTGATATATTAAGTTTTTGAAAAACAAAGCTCATTAAATAGTCTAGTCACTGTATTTCAACTTATAATGAGTCAACCTTGTTTTTCAATTCTCCATTTCAAATTCCAAATCAAAAATGTGTATAAAAATAGTGTTTAAGATCTATCTCTTGTGTCAATCAATCACTGCCCAAATGGCCTTTCATTCAATACCTGAACTCATTAGTCTTGTTGGATGTTGAGGGGTAAAAATATTGAAACACTATATATGCAGTCCAAGAGTTTAAAAGTTTCTGTTTAACCATTGAAAACTCACAATGCATTGTAAACTAATAGACTAAACTGTTAATGAATGAAAGGTCTCTTGGGCAGTGACACATAGGAAACAAAAAATAGGTCTCAAATTTTGTTTTTACTATGATTTGGAATTTGAAATGGACAAACTAAGAATAATGGAACATAAAACATCAGCAGCTTACATGATTTTTATCATAAAAACAACTATTGTAGTTTATTAAAGATTGTTGCTGGTACAAATAAAATGTTACTCTAACTGAATGAGAAGATTCCTAATGGAAAAATTGTGCATGAACATTTTATCTTCAGAAGATTGTTAGACATATTCTAGCTGTGACTTTTTCTTGTATTTAGTAATTATCATTAATAGCTTCTGGTAAAAGATAAACTAACTATAGAAGAAAGAGCAAATTATAATGTGGAAAATGTTTTATAACAAAACTGTTGTGGTGTTTTCTGGCTCACAGATTTTCCGCTAACTGGAGGTTTGAAAGATGCTAAGTTATAGTGTATTTCTATTTATTTCTCCAAACTCTAACAGAGTTCATCAGAAAAAGTCAAATTACAAAAGGTGAAGAATAATAATAATTATTAACAAGGCAAAACACAGACACAGTTATTAACACAAGACAAAATAAATTCAATGTAGTGGGTCTGTGGTGAGTGGATTAGACTGGCAAGAGAGTGTAAAGGGTAGTGAAACCTTTATGAGCTGCTTTTCATGAATTTGGTGTGTGTGCTCCATCCTCCAAGTTAAACTAAAACACATTTGTAAGATAAAAATCAATCCAAGGTTAAAATTAAAAATGAAACAAACCTACTAAAAGATAAACTAAAACCCAGCAAAATCTAAATCTTCATAAAAGATTCTTGAATGAAAAAATCTATATCTTAGAAAAAATTCTGGTGAACCAAGGAATACTTGGCTTTTAACCTTCTTGCTATAGACAGGCCAAAGAGCTCGTCACAATGTTTTAGAGAGTTGTTTTCAAACTTTAATTAAACAACTTTATTATTAATGTTTGTCAATAAAATGACCTTTGAAACATACTTTATTACTTATTACTCAGTTTATATTTTATTATGCCAACAATACAATGCTTATAGTGGCTAACAAGTTATAAACTCAAATTTCAGACACTGACAAGCAAGAACGTAAAATAAGAACCTCCCACCTTTTTGATTTGGTGAGATATCATTATAATTAGCAAACCTACCAGAGTAGTCCTTCCCATTACTCCATTCTTTTGAAACCTTGTGTCTAATCATGCCTGCTTCTCTTAAGTACATGTTTATAGAAAGAGTAAATTTCAAACTATGTAAAACTGATAATTATTTGAAATTGGCTTAAAGGGGAAAACCACTGTTTCACTGAAAATGTTGAAATACATTGTCTAAGTCATTTATAGCTCAGTTAGAAATTCAGGTAAATTACAGTGGTTTTATATTCACAAGTGTAATAATTTGATAATTTATTTGGTTTCCTAAAATGCATCTTTGAAACCTACAAAAATTAATTTGTATTCCCCCTCTACTCGAGAGAATAAATGAGGATTACAATAAGGCTTAAAAGGTAAAAACATCATAAGTTCTTGAAATCATTGTTTTTCTATATATTTAGTATTTATTGTTCTATATTTTAAGAATAGTAAGAAAAGATTAAGCTTTTATGAGTAAATTGTAATAATATATATAATGGTATAGGCACACCTATAACATTAAATTCCAACCACCCTAGGAGGATAACTAACATCCAAACACTTATCCAGTTTATTGAATTGGCTCAGGCTTTGTACAGAGCCATATCATAAACATTTTCTCACACTTACTTTAGACAATTCCTGTTGCAGTCACTGTACAATAAACAAGCCATTAAATACTCTCCCACTGTGTTCTCAGAGCCATGATTATGATAAGCTCTGTGGGAAATGTCAGATTATTGTAACACACATGCTTGTTTGCTATTGATGGTGTCATGTAAACAGTCTAGTGGCAAGAGTAGTGATTCATTGCTTTATTTTCAACTGGTTTCTACTTCAACCATTAACAGTAAAATAAATGTAGGAAATAGATGTGAAAAGGTTAGAAGTAGAAACTACCAGGAGAAGTACCTTTGTACTTCATGGTCAATACAAAAAGGATATAACAGTCGTACTCATTTTATTTTGCATTTTTTTAAATTATACTTTTTGTCAGAATCATTATACTGTTAGGGTAGAGAAAATAATAGATAGAATGTAAAGGTTTAGTGAAAGAAAACTATATAATTCTTTAGAAGGTTTTAGAGATTATGCAAATAAATTTTCATACTTTTCAGATGCAGAAAAGTATTCTAAATATTATATTGATAATCACTTTACACTCTGACTCCATATATTTATGAACAAATTTTTAGTAAAAATACTTAATCAAAATTTGGAGTTTTTGTCTTTTGTAATGTTTACTAGAAGCTTAAAAAATTTCATGAAGAAACACAAAACACCTTAAAAGTTAAAGTATGGAAAATCTTATGGTCACTTTAGGTTCACAAGGTCAGTGTAATCCATCGAGTCCATAGCGAGAGTATTTATGCAAAATACAATAATATCACAAAAACCAGGTTGCACAGAAATAGCTGTTCTGCACGTGACCTCTTTACTCGAGTGCTGGGTCAGATGAAATCTCAGACTATTATCCAATTTGCCAATAGAAAAGAAAAAAAAACAGCTTTTTATTCCTGGGTGTCATGTGATATTTCCCTGCAAGAAACTTGTTTAATTGCCAAGTAGTGAATGAGGTCCTGAATGGAGCCTTAAAAAAAGTTAAAGTTAAGATGTGATTAGTTGAGCGACTTTGTAAAACTTGCATATTAACTAAGGAAGTAGAGAACATGGTTCCTACCTCTACCACACACTGACTATAAGTGTGTAATATTATAGATAATTATACAAGAAAGCTAAAATCTCTGCTACATTATTTTCAGCTGTAAGTTTAGTATCTCACAATGTTAAGGCAGCTTAAGAGATTTAAGGCTCATTTTAAATTGTTATACTACACTAACAATACAGAATAATAAATATTAAGTTAGAGATTAGAAATAAAATAAGTTTAAACAGAATAACTAGTAATATTAATGAAACTAAGTTAGAAGAAGAATAGACTCTGCAGCATTTTGTAAAGGACACAAAATAAAACTGTTGGTGAATTTCAAACATGGACCAGCTAATTCTTTTTATAACATATGAGTGTACTGAAATTTAAACATACATATTAGATGTATAACACAGTAACAGGAAATTTCTAGTGATTGTTTAACTCTTGCCACAGGCAGATCAAAATGCATGTCATAACTGTTTAGAGAGTTACTTCCAAAATTTAATTAAACTACTTCATTATCATGATATATGAATAAACTTGGTATCAAAATGGAATTAATAAATCAGATGATAATATTATGTAACTTATAAGTTCTTAATTTTATAAGGAAACATCTAAAAGAATCCTCAATCTCCTCTAGTATGAGAATTGTGACATTTGTTCTCTAGGTCTTCCCTTTTCTCTAATATATTTACTATCCTTCTGAGGAGTATGGAATTTAACATAAATTACTTATTATAACATAGTTATTACTCAGGCAAAATATAATCTTAAAAGTCTTCAATTTTCTTTGTTTAGGAAACCATAAAATAGAAATTAGACTCATTTGCCATGCCCACCTGTCACATCCTCTCTTACACCCCCTCTCCCCAAAACTCTTTTAATGCTAATTACAAATTTAAAAAATATTTGGAATTTATTTAGATGGTTTTAGAGATTATGCAAATAAAATTTGACAATTTTCAGATGAAGAAAAGTATTTTTAATCTTAATGTGAAACTCACTTTACACTTGGAACAGTCAACACTTTGACTCCATATATTCACAAGGAAATTTTTTGTAAAAATGTTTCATTAAAGTTCTGAATTTTTGTCTGCAAAAGCCTTTTAATGCTTAGTGAAAGCTTGCAAAATTTCATGAAGACACACAAAATATATTAGAAGTTATAGTATGGAGACTCTAAAGGTCAATTGGAGATCATGGACTCAGTCTAATCGACCAAGTCCACAGCAAAAAAAGTTAAATGTTACATTTAAGTGGTATGAACTGCAAAATATCATCAAAACTTGAAAATGCATTTTCTTCGAAATTAGAATTATATAGATTTACATTTGCTTCATGATTAGTCTCCATGTGATAATTGTGAATAATGTCCATACAGTATAATTATTATTGTAAATGCAAGTTCAAACAAAATTATTAAGGGAATTTAACTATAGATGCACATGAGATATGAAAATTTATCTGCATATTGTTAGGTGTCAAGATTTTATTTATAAAGTTAAATTGTCTAATAATTAGTCAAGTGCGTTATATTTATGTCTTACTTTTGATATTTTGTCTTTTCAGAAAGTGAAAATGAATCTTTCAGTGTAGATTGGAAAATTGTGGAAATTATTAATAAGGAAAAGGGTGTTTTACCTTGTAAGTTGTCAGATGACAAAAGAAAAAAATACATTTTTAACGTGAAAGACTACACAGATGCAGTTGTGATGCCATGCTACAGAAATTTTGACAAACCCAAATCTTATTATGTAGCTGAAATTTGCCATGAACTAACTCCTCTAAGTCCTTTCCCTGATGTTGGGTATGAAACATTCGAAGAATATTACAATAAGAAGTACAAAATCAAAATAAATAATTTGTCTCAAAATCTTCTTGATCTGGATGAAACTCCTGCAAGACTTAACTTTTTAATACCTCGTTACCTTGATAATAAAGGTAAGGCACATAACACAAGAAGTGATAAAAGAAAAAAATCAGGATATAAAAATCCAAAACAGAAGCAGTTACTGGTACCAGAGCTTTGTGTTGTTCATCCTTTTTCAGCTTCATTGTGGAAGAAGGCTGTTTGCCTACCTTCTGTTTTGTACCGTATCAATTCATTGTTGCTTGCTGAGGAGTTCAGGCTAAGAGTAGCTCAGGAGATTGGAGTAGGATCAGTAGATGATGAAATCAAGTGGCCTAAGCTTTATTTTGATTGGCTACTTTTCAAGACTCCAGTCACTCTTGAAAACAGAATTGAAAATCATAACATACAAGGTTTTGAAATCTCCTTGTCTCCTAAAAAGCTTTCATTTTCCAAACTAGAAAACACTGATTTAGGCAGGCATGAAATGCAAGACTTTAATTTTGAAAACAAAGACTGTACTCATCTTTTTCCATCTATGGATGATATAATGAAGAGTAGTTCCAACAGAATACAATATGGCTTTCCTAACACTTTTGATGAAACTGAAGGTAATTCAGAATTATATAGTGACATGGAAGAGGGAGAAATAAGTACAGGTAGCTTGGAAACAGAATCTTTGAGTGATGTTTTAGAAATTAGTATGTCACAAGAAAGTGAAAGACTAGAAGATATTAATTGTTTTGAAACAAATTATTCTCCAGAAAGTGCTTTATATGTTTCACAGAATAGTTCAGAATCTTTGTCAGATAATTGGGAAATGGGTGATACTGAATCTGAAGAAGAGAATCAGGAATATGAACAAGAAGATAAACTGGATATAAGAAACCAAGAAACTAGAGAATTAAATCTTAATATAAATCTTCTTGAAGAGTCCAAAAATATCAATTTTGGTGAGTTGCTACCTGAACGAGTAAATCAGTCACTTAAAGAGGAAGATATATTTCGAGTTCACTTTGATGAAAACTCAGAAAATTATCCAGAACCAAGTCCTAACATTATCCTACAAGCTTTTACCATGGCCAATGCCTGTGATGGAATGAATTTGGAGAGGCTGGAAACCATTGGGGATTCTTTCTTAAAGTATGCAGTAACTACTTATTTGTTTTGTAAGTACCAAAATATCCATGAAGGAAAACTTACATTCATTAGAAGCAAACAGATCAGTAATCTAAACTTGTACAGAATTGGAAAACGAAAAGGCATAGGTGAATTAATGATTGCCAGTAAATTTGAACCACATGACAATTGGCTTTCTCCATGCTATACCATATCACAGAAACAAGGAAAAGAATTTACTGATGTAGAAATGTTTGAAGAGCATTCAGATAATGGAAGTTTGGAAGAATGCCATTGGAAAGCAGAAGTTAATAATAAATTTAACAAAACTCAAACTTCTGAAAACCCCACATCCTTTTCACCAGACACCTCAGATGGAAAATCTTATAATCTGCTTACTCAAGAAAGCATTTCAGACAAGAGTATTGCAGATGGAGTAGAAGCCTTGATAGGGGCCTATCTGTTGTCATGTGGACCACGTGCAACACTTCTTTTTATGTCTTGGCTTGGTCTCTGGGTTCTTCCCAAGGATGAAGATGGTACTAGTTTCATTCCAAAGTATGGAATGTTTGAGCCTCCAAAATCACCCCTTCTTATGCATGTTCCTTGTAAAAATGAGATACTTCTGAAGTTAACGAATGGCTTTGATAACTTTGAGAAAAAAATTGGATATTCTTTTAAAGTTAAGGCTTACCTTCTACAAGCCTTTACCCATGCATCTTATCATTACAATAAGATTACTGACTGTTACCAGAGGTTGGAGTTCTTAGGGGATGCTGTTCTTGATTATCTTATCACGCGACACTTGTTTGAAGACCAGAAAAAACACTCCCCTGGAAATCTGACAGACTTACGTTCTGCTCTTGTAAGCAATGCTTTCTTTGCATCACTAACAGTGAAGTATACCTTTCATAAGTATTTCAAATATCTTTCTCCTGGCCTATTTTCAGTTATACAGAAGTTTGTAGAACTGAAAAGAGATACTGCTGAGTGTGGATATTATGATGTAAGTTTTAATAATTTTTTTCTTTTAGATAGTGAAGTTTTGAATTTTAAAACATTCATAAGTTGTTTATATATTTCTTGATATTTTTCTCTTTCAGTCTACTTTTTCAACTGTTTCATAGAGTCATTAGTAACAATAGTTACTGTGTTAAAAACTAGGATACAACAATTCTGTAAGTTGTGTAATAAAGTAGTACACCAAAAATGATCAAGTGTAATTATTAAATTCGTTTTTTATGAATTATTTTAGATACAAAATTACATATAAAACATTTTATGAAGATCAGTGATATATATATATTTTTCAGAGTGGCATACTGTTCTATTCAACCAGCAAAATTTGCTTTTAATTTCCTTTGCATTTTTTCTTTTTTATATCAGTGATATGCATATATATGTGTGTGTGTGTGTGTGTGTGTTATTTAAATACTTTAGAGACATGATTACATAAGTACCCATGTACATCTTACACTAATGTCTTGATACACAGGCTGAGGCACATTCCATTTGAACAATAGTGATGTATTAGAAAGACTACCAAACACATGTACCAGTAATAATGTCCAACTTAAAAAGATAAATAATACAGTTTCATCATGTTAACCCAGTACTGTTCACTGTGTTTACTGAAATAACTGTATACCCATTAACCTATCAAATGTTAGCCCTGTTTTTTTTTTCTGTTAAGTATTAACAATCTAATGTTAGAAGTTCTTTCTCCATCTTTTCAATACTGAATTAATAATCAGACTTTACTAGCCAGTTAAGATTTGTGGATCATTCCTAACTTGATTTCTTCCCACTGTACCCAATTTGTTATAAGATGCACTATATCTAAAATGTATGCAAATAATATCTTGTATTATATTCAAATGTGGTTGGACATGGCTTAGTGGTACTACACTATAAATTATCTGAGGATTCATAATTGGGAATCATTGCCACAAAATTGTGTTTAATATTTTTGGACTGTAGATACCATATAAGAGTGACAGTTAAATCCCACAATTTGATCACAATAGCCCTAAAATTAGTGGTGAGTAATGCTTACTAGCTGTCTCCCCTGTAGTCTGTTATTTCAAAATTAAGGATGGCTGGCACAGATAGTCCTTGTGTAGCTTTGCACAAATATCTGAGATAAACATGTTTAGTATATAAATCCAAATGTCATTTTTGAGTTAGAATAAGGTTGTATCTTTAATTAACCCATATAAAAATCTCAAGTTTGTTTGACTATGCAAGTCAGTCAGTTAAATGAAAACTGCTCAACAGTTAGAAAAAACCACAGTTTAATTTTATTTAAGTCAGTGTTTCAAATAAGTAATGTGTTTAGGGGTCTATTTTATGAGTTCTCTATTATATGTTACAAATCACTATATATATAACTAAACATTTTTATAGTCATTATACTTGTGTGTCAGTCATTACTAAATTAATCAGGTTCTATTTATAAACTTTTATTGCATGTATCCTGATGGTATAGTAATGATAGGGATGGGCTTAAGACAAAGAAAAGTTTTATTTGCTTGAAATATCATGGAGAACAGGGTTAAATATTAAAATACATCTTTGGTAGTCATGGAAAGTTATCATTTTCTTACTCTCAAAATAGATTTCCAATAGATACTTATCACTAATTACTTGACACACTAGCCCTTTATACCCCTCAGCTCAAGCTGCTCATTTAGCATGCATAGTGAATGCTACAATCCTTCACCAATAGGAGCACGACACACATTCCCAGAGCAGCTGGCCCCCTGTGTATTACAATATGTGTACCTCACTTTTGAGATTATGCACACCAGAAGTTGGGAGGAAAGGTGGGAAGTGTGTGAGAGAGGTAAGAAGTTTTTGGAAATCTACTTTCAGTACAAGAAAATGATAACTTCGGATAAAATACATACCTCTTTCCACATAATAACTAAAATCCTACATTGAACATGTGGAGGGACCTGTGTAACAGAAAAAAACAGGAGATCCACCAAGGAAAGCAACCGTAGAGAGTCCAATAAGTGTGAACATGAAATGAAAGAAAACACACAAGGGGGGACTGCACCACTTCTGAAACAGGTATACCCTTGAAGAAGTGAAGTGTGATAAAACTTGTGGCATTGAGGACGAAATTCTAATGAAAAGCCTCAAAAAACACTGGAACAGGACTCTTCCCCAACTGAACAAAGGAGGTTCCACATCCTGTCCTCTGTATTACGAGGTAGAGAGCAGCACTGAAGAACCAAAAAAGAGTAAATGCAGTGGAACATGGCCAGGGTGAGCGGACTGTGAACAATATATACATGAACCCCAACCACAAGTAAATAGAGTGCAATTGCAATTACACCAAATTAAACCTGGAATTACAGGGCAGTGTCTGAGTCTCAACTCAACCGTAAGAATGGGAGAATCATCTTATTGCTGGTATTACGAACAGGAAAAGAGCTGGGAAGAAAGCACATGCACATGGAATGCCTGCTGAACCATAGGAACAGGGTGTCATATGGCCTGCAACCATCATTATGATGCAGACAAAGTACCCCAGGAGGGAGAAGCAGTGAGGGTACTTTGCTTCACCCTTTTATCAATAGAGTGTAGGTATATGTAACGACCTGTATGTTAAACTCCAGAGGAAGCTTCCATGGACCCCCATCCCAGTGGCTAGGAACTGGAAAATAACAAGGACTCCCAAACTCCACTCAAGGAAGGGAGGGATCAAAGGGCAGCAGTGGGGAGTCCAAAGGAACAACACACCAGAGAAGGTATAATGGGTGACCATGAAACCCTATTTTGAAAAGCAGACTGCTCCAGATTTATTCAATCAAGAGAGCAGCAGGGATGGGCAGCAATACCCTTCTTCTTTACTAATGATAGTCCATGAGTGATGGTCCATCAAGTATGGAATTGAACATGACAAAGAAATATGAATATATATATACCAGTAGGTAACCTGCTAGAGGTTGTGAGGAACACTCCATTTCAACAGTGTGTGTTACAACCATAGAGGTAGCGGGTGCAGTTTAAAATAAGACATACCTGTACATGCAACACTTGCACTGTACAGGATCCAAATGTATAGCAAAGAAAAAAGGAGAAGACCTGTAAGAACAAATAACAGAAAAAATACACTTACCCAAGTCAGACTCGAACTGGAGCATGGAGAATCACCAGAGGAGGGAGACAGTATCCACCAGAGTAGGATACAGCCAGATGGTGCAAGTAATGAGAGACAAAAGTATGTGGAGTAGTCCACATTCTGGCTTGGATAATCTTCTGCAGAAGATGACGAAAACGAGCTGTCACAAGTATGGTGACATGTTGAATTTGGTGAGAGGAGACATTATAAGTAAGGCACTCTTTGTAGGAAAAGGAAGAGTATGCCAACTGAATAAGTTGACGAACCCAACCCGTAAGGGTGATGGGTGAAAGATCACAAGACACAGAAGGATTCCAGGGAAGAAACAAACAAAAATCATGTAAGGAAAACATACGAGAAACGTAGCACTGTAAAGCCTGCACAGGACACAGGAGGTGATCAGGATCTGATAGGGAATAAATATGGGAAATGGAAGGGGATGAAGATGGAAGAGAAGGCAGATTCAGTCTCCTGGGTAATGGAGGTTTTGGGAAGGAAAGAACAGTTCGGATAGAGCACAATGTAGGTACTGTGATAAAGGATATGGGAAATGTCAATAGCAAAGTGGTCATACTGCCAGCAGGAAAAGGAAGTAGGTCTTAAGGGAAAGATAATACAGGGAACAGGAAGCCTAAGTTTCAAAGGTAGGTCAGGAAAGTGCAAAAAGTATGACATTGAGATCTTAATAAGGAACAGGAAAAACATGGCAAGGATGAAACGAATAAGATGAAGGGACTGGAACAGCATGGAAAGAACAGGAGAAGAAAAAAACCAGTGGAGCCTGGTAAAACAAAACATTTGACAAGGAAGCTCTATAGCCAGACACCTTCTAAAACGAAAGGTCCTGATCAAAGAGCCAGGAGTAAAACCGGGAAAGGTGAAGAATGGTAGGATGAGAAGGACACAATCCATGTTGGATAGACCAATGGCATTGTAAAGTGACTGCATAGAAGAACAGACCAGAACAGAAAGGAGTGAAGCAACATGCAGTGTTGTCAAGCCCAGATACCCTGCATGGGACCTAACAAAAGCCATGCATGAAGCTGGAGAGTTGGAATGGCAGGATGAAAGTTGTCTAAATAACGTTGACAATGGAGCAATGGAGACATAGGTAGGGGCAGAGGTGATGACATCTGTAGATGTTCTACAAAAAGGAACCAAGGTTGAGCCAGCCAATATAGAAACACTAAAAGAACCTGACACAGAGTGGTGTTGATGAAGGAAATAACTCTAGGAATGAGACATATAGGAGGGAAGACATAAATGTGGAGACCCCTCCATTCATGGCTGAAGGCATCGACTCCCAAAGCCTGAGGATGAGAAACTGGAGATCAGAACGATGGTAGTTTGGTGTTTGGCAAGCACATCAGTATGTGGTGTATGCAGATGAGAGCATAACCATCAGAATACCTGATGATCCAGGGACTACTCTTTAGGAATGATTTTGTGTACACACAACTGATCCACCAGCAGATTTATGCACCCATGAGATGGCAATCTAATAACTGTATCCAGTGTTCGTGGGCCCAGAACAGGAGCTCCATCATCAGAAAACAAAGAGACCTGGATTTGATACCACCTTGCTTGGTGATGGAGGAGATTCCTAAGGAATTGTCGGAATGCACCATAACCACTCTTCCCTGTACAAGATTGAGAAAATGAGACATGGCCTGACAAACTGCCAAGAGCTCTCAAAGATTTGTCTGAAGACCAAGTCCTGGAAATTTCCTGTGCATCAAGAGAAGCATCTGTGAAAAGATGTAGATCTGGACGAGGTGGTGGAAGAGGAACACCAACTGTAGTATTGTCTCTGTCCAACTACCAAGCAAATTAAAACTGCAGGCTAGCAGGAAGGCCAACTAGAAGATCCAATAGATCTAAGAGGAAATTCCAAAAATCATGCAGTTTCCAGTGAATCTCTTCATGTGATTATGACCAAGGAAAATGAGCACTTCCAAGGAAGCCCACGTCCTCAAACGGGAAAGAACCTTTCGAGCTGGTAGAGCTCCATATCCCAAAGACGAAGTGGAGAAGGCTGTGCCCAAATGAGATGGAATTTGAAGAACATCCCCAAATGAACCAGATACTGAGTAGGAGAAATAATGAACTTCTCCACCATGATCAACCAACCTATCCATGCCACCTCTTCGAGGAGGAAATGAGTGTGGGTGAAAGATGCCAAATAGGAAGGAACCAGAAGAAGTTAGTCATCTGTGTACTGATGAGTCTGGAGTCCCAGCATATGCAGATGTCAACAAAGGCCCTGATTACTCAACAAAACATATAAGGAGCCAAGGCAAGCCAGAACGGAAGAGCCCAGAATTGCAACACACACCCCTTGTGAATGAACCAAAGAAAATGACTTGAGGTGGGAGATATTGGCACACAAAGATATGTATCTGCCACACTGAACTTGGTCATCTTCAGACTTGTAGTGAAAACCCAAGGAAGGGACAGAAAATACTCCATGGATAAATGAGGGAGATCTGTAAACTAATTGAGATGGGAAAGGTCAGTGACAGGTCTCCAATCCCTGGTTTTCTTGAAGGTTACAAAAAGTCAAGAGTAAAAACCTGGTTGAACTTTGACCACCAGCTATATAGCATCCTAGAGAAGAAGCTCTTTCACAGCATCAGATAGACAAAGACAGGAAAACGGATCTCATTGGGGGAAGGAAAGGAATGAGAGATGAAGAAAGGGAAGGAGGATATCAGAAGCAAAGAGAGAGAGACCTGTTAAAACCTGTAGAACCCATTGATCTGTAGAGAAGGTCTCCCAAATGTTGCAAAAGAATGGAGCCTGGCCCCCATAGGACTTGACCCCACTGGGCAGTCGTGACAGGTATGGAAAAAACAAGGATGAGAATGATGAGATGCAGGTGAAGGATAAGGTATGGACTCAGGAAAATGGGAGACTATAATAGGATCAGGAGAAGAGAATGAAGCTTGGGATAAACGATTGGCCAGGGAAGACAGAGAATTATGCAACCTAGTGATATCCACTCAGGACTCCAAAGAACTGGAATGGTTTCTAAATATAGGTGAACTGCAGTGAGTCTCTCTCCAACAAGTTTCAACAACAAATGAACCAGGTAAGCAGAGAAAGGGCTGACAAAGAGAGCCCCATCAAAGTCGACCATGAGAGTGACCCAAGTTCCCCCTAAAAATCGTCAGGAGAAGGACAAAAGGTGCATAGAGGAGAGGTAACGTAAAATGTTAGTAAGGGCGAGATGAATCTGCAAAAATTGGGCCTATGAAAAAGAGACTCGAGTCTCAGGATTAGAAAAAGTCGACTTAATTGCTCAAAATAAAGACTGGCAGAATGACGAAAAAACCAAAGCATAGTGTTTAAAAACACTAGGGGTTGAGGCATACTAACCCTCGAAATAAGCTGTTAGGGGAAGGAGCAAACACCAAGTAATCAGAGGTAGGAAGCTCAAACAAAAGGGAAGGGAAAGCATCATAGGAAACATGCAAAATATGGCAAATCTGTGTGATCAACTACAGGAAAGGAATGGATGGGTGAACTTCTTCCAAAGGTGTCTGAACTGACAGAATAGAAAATGAAGGAGTAGGAAAAACGTTTTCAAAATCATCGTCTTCCTGCAAGTTTACATCAACAGGAAGGGGTGCCAACCTAGGTGGAGAAGAAGATGAACCAGGCTCTATGTAGGAAGTTAATTCCTGACACACAAAGGCTTGCACCTCTTCAACCAATAGCATTGATTCCATGTCTTGGGTAATGGGATGAAGCATGTCTCCAGAAAGGGCAGGATCTGTAGTGGTAGTCACATTAAATTTTGAGTTCCTGATTCACACTGATCATAAAAAAAGAAAAATATTAATATGTGTATGTAAGTAACTAAGTATGAATCCACACAATATATGAAAAATGGAAAGCAAGTGAGAAACACATCCAACTCTCAGCATGCCATTTGAAAAAGTTAGGTCCAACTAATGTAATACAGAGGGAGCCGGCTGATTTGAAAATGTATGTTGTGCTCCTATTGGTGAAGGGTTGTTGCATGTGCTATATATCCTAAATGAGCAGGTATAAAAGCTAGTTCATCAAAAGAGAAAGTTTCTTTTCAATGTGTTAGAAGGCCAAAAAAATGTATTGTGTGAAAGGAGGTATGTATCTACTAGAAACAAGTCTTTGATGTGATGATTAATGATAAAAATTTAAATTTTACAATACATTCTTTTAACTATGTTTCCTTTTGTAAAATATTCCATGTTTACCTTTCAAGTGTTATATAATCCAAGAATTACAGATTTTTTTTATGATTTTTTTTGTGTGGGGGTTGTGTGTGGTCCTAACTGATTTGTAAGCAAATTATATAAGCTATTTGTTCATTGACCTAATTCTGGGTCCATGACAATATTCCTAATAACATATAATTTACAAAAAAAAATGCTACCAATATTATTGATTCCAACAATAACTGCTGAGGTTCTATTGTGTCTGTGTATTTTAAACATAAACTGAGGTGTTATTGATCAGCTCAATTGAGTATTGTAATAGTTAAAATATATAAAAGTACTTCACTTAGTATGATACAATATGTGAACCCACTATTTGTACATGGAATAAAAACAAGGTATTTTTGTGAGTTAAAGAAAAAAGTATAAAAATGTTCATTTATTGTCCTGTGTTTGTGAGGTTTTTGTTTAAAAGTTAATTAATGGCTAACAATTTAAGCTTAAGAGTAATTGTAGAAACATAATATCATCTCATTTGTAGGTTTAAAGATTTGAAAAAGCATGAAACTATTCGAAATTACAGTAAAAATCTAAAACTTTATGATCATCTCTACTAACCTACCAGTAAACACCAGAAAGTGTCAGTATTTTTACAGGTAGCAAAAGACATTAAAACTTAGGTATTGTTCATTGTAATATTAGTTTTAAATATGTAGAACTTGTATACAAAATTAAATATAGATGAAGTTGAAAGAGTTCTTAATTAAAATCAGTTCATTGAATGCTTTATCGTACAACATAATCGAAGTTGGGGGTTCTCTTAACAAAAATAGAAATACAATATCTTGTCAATGTTAAGGTAAATTATTGTAAATTTTTAATAATTCTCTGTTTATTTTCATTAGAAATATTATCTGGAGGAAAATGAATGTGAGTTGACTGAAGAAGTAGAAGTACCAAAAGCACTTGGAGACATTTTTGAGTCCGTTGCTGGAGCTATTTATCTAGACAGTGGAATGTCTCTAGACACAGTTTGGAGGGTATATTACCCTATGATGAAACCAGAAATTGGTGAATTTATTTTGTAGTAGTTTTGATCATAAAGTATTGTGAAGTTATAGAACTAAATTTTTATATCGATTAAATAACTTAATGGTAGTAACATATCATTATTATTTAAACCTTAAAGAATCTCAAGGCATTTTATAACTTTAAGCACACATAAGAGTGTGGAGATTATAGGAAAATAGAGCTTTTTGTGAATGATTTAGCTGTGTGTATTATTTGCAATAAAAGTTGTTAAAATTTTAGGATACCTTGCTTGACCAGAAACTAGGAACATTTTTTAAATTTACTGTTGTTTTCAAAACGTTATGCATGCATTCGAGATGATTAGTATTGAAAACAATTTTGTACACTTAGAAAGTGGTGTTATGACAGCGGAAGTCGCGTAACGCTGGGTGCATGCAAGCTGGAGTTTCTCAAATTTTCAAGGAACCCCGCAAATATCCGAGTGTTTGCTAGACGCCCTCTTTTTTTTAGTATATAAGCCTGGCAAGAAAAACCAGTGGGAATTGAAGATATAGATAATTTAGTCAAGCGAACAGTAGGCACCATAAGTAAACTGTGTGAATCACTGTGATTTATAGTGTGTGTGTTATAAAAGTAGTTAAGTTTAACGTACTGATTGGAAATTCTGTGTATTACAAAGTTGTGTCGAGAAAAAAATAAACTGGTTTAATTAAGAAAGGAATTGTATCGCTGAAGTTCCTCGGAAAGAATTTATACCAGAAATTAACAAACAAGCAGATACGTAACAGTGGTATACTGAATGAGTACCCACGCCATTAGAAACTTGCAATTTGCTGCAGACTTTAGTCTTCCTCATATAATTTCTGTTTCCTAATCTCTCTCAGTATCTTCCCAGGCTTAATATCTCATATTTTCTACAAATATCTTCTCTCCAACTTTTCTTTTGTTGTCTCATCATTCTCAGTTTATAATTATTTATCATTGTTTATAT